GCACAGTAGAAATGACATCTGCACCTGTATGTTCATTGAAGCACTATTTACAATAGCCAGAATCTGGAAACAACCCAAGTTCCTAAGAACAGACGACGGGTTAAAAAAAAACTTTGGTACATCTACACAATGGAATACTATGCAGGTATTAGGAAAGATAAAGTCATGAAATTTTCTTATAAGTGGATAGTCATGAAGAGTGTCATGCTAAGTGAAATGAATCAGAAAGAGAGAGACAGACATAGAATGACTCTACTCATTGACGGAATATAAAATAACATGAGACTGACACCTAAGGACAGTAGACACAATGGCCAGGGATATTGCTCCATAGTTGGAAGCCTGTCTCTTGAGCTGGGGAGAAGGCAACTGGAATAAAGAAGGGATTACTAAATCAATGATGATTGGAGGGATAGTTCAGGATGGGAGATGTGTGCTGAAAGTAGATAAAGGACCAAACGTGATGGCCTCTCAGTATCTATATTGTAAACCATAATGCCCCAAAGTAGAGAGAGAATATGGGGAAAATTGTCTGCCATAGAGACAGGGGAAGGTTTAGGACGGAGACTTTGCTGGTGGAAAATGTGCACTGGTGGAGGGATGGGTGTTCAATCATTGTATGACCGAAACTCAAACATGAAAGTTTTACAGCTGTATCTCACAGTGATTCAATTAAATAAATAAATAAATAAATAAAAACAGTCCCGGCAGGCTTGGAGGATGGGGTGTGGAAGAAGCAAATGAGAAGCAAGGACTCAGGCCCAGATCTGCCATGTGCAAGTCAAGTGCCTTACACTCTATACTATCTCACTGGTTTGAAGACTTTTAAACTTGATGTTTTCATACTACTGCTCATAATTATATGGTGAACATAGTATATTCTCAGGTTCCACCATAAATATTCCCACTGAATCTAGGATGATAGATATATTAGTGCCAATGTTGTTCAATAGATCTGGGAAGTCTGATGTATGTCTCTTGTAAACTGCACCTGAGACACTGCTTTAAAGTCTCTCAGGGGAAAGCGGGGAGAGAAGGGTGGGGATAGTTTGGAGTGGTGGGAAGGAAACAAGGGACACTGGTGATGGAAAATTACACTGGTGGAGGGATGGGTGTTGGAAAATTATGTGACTGAAACCCAATCATGAACAGCTTTGTAATGCTCTATCTCATGTTGATTCAATAAAATAAAAAAGTAGGGGGGGGGGAAATTAAGAAATTTAAACAAAAATAAATAAAAATTTAAAAACTAAGTCTCTCAGGGCTGTAGTGATAGTATACCAGGTAGGGTGTTGATCTTGCCTGAAGTCAACTCTGGTTCCATCTCCAGCTCCCTATATGATCCTCTGAGCACTCCAGAAGAGATCCCTGAGCTCACAGCCAATAGTAAGCTCCAAGCACGTGGAGTGGGGCCCAAAAAGTAAAATAAGTAAATCAGATTCAGGTTACTCAGTCTGAGTCTCTCTGACTCAGGTTACTTAGAGTGTTTGTTCTTAGAAAATTGTGTGCAGGGTGGGGGGTGGGAGGGATACTGGGATCATCAGTGGTGGAGAGTGGGCACTGGTGGAGTGATGGATACTCAAGCATTGTATGACTGAAACACAAGCACGAAAGTTTGTAAATCTGTAACTGTACCTCATGGTGATTCTCTAATCTCTGTATCTCTGTATCCCTGTCATCCCATTGTTGGTTGAATTACTCGAGTGGGCGCCAGTAATGTCTCTATTCCTCCCACCCTTGAGATTTTATCAGCCTCTCCTTACTCATCTTTCTCAACGATTGGGGACTCTTTCAGGGTCAGGGGAATGAGACCTGTTATTATTATACTGGTTTTGGCATATCGAATACGACACAGGAATCTTTCCAGGGTCTACCCGGATTCACTAATAAATTTTTTTTTTAAAAAAAGAAATTCCTAGAAAAAAGAAAGAAAATATGTGTGTGCCCAGGGCATGTGGAATTCACCTACATCTGTACACACAGACTGCTGCCTCTAACAGACATGGAAGCTTGTTGCTGTCTTTCCTTCTATTCTTCATTCACAGTTCTCTGATGTCTCCCCATGCAGCTTTCCCAAATCATTTGTTAATGAAAAGACTGGACAGCTGGTGGAATAAGAGATGGTTATAATGAAATTATTTCTCATTCTAGAAAATAGATGGTCCCTGCCCTTTAGACCACTTCTTTGAAAGCTAATTCCCTGGGATGGGAGACCCTGCAAAGAACTCCAACCTGAATTTATTTGTTTATTGTTGTTGTATTGTTTGTTTTTAGGGGTCTACACCCAGTGTTGCTAAGATCTTACTCCTGGCTCTGTGCTCAGGGTTCACCTCTGGCAGGGCTCAGAAAAACATGCAACATTAGGAATCAAACCCCAGTAGACTGCATGTAATTCAAGTGCCTTACCTGCTGTCCTGTCTCTCCAGTACTCTGACTAGAATTTAAATCAAACTCACACTCCGCACCCCCTTCCAAAGGAATCTGTATGTGGTTCATGCAGCCTGATTTTTCCAGACAAACCGACCAGCAGTCAATCCCACCATCCTTTTGTGCCTGGAGGTGTTTGCATTTAAAACCCCCGTAAAGAAGAAAAATGACAGAGAAAGGAGTAATTGAGCATCTGTGGTTTCTCTATTTGGTTTTCTTGCCATTGCTGAGTTCCAGAAGCAGTGCAGCTACGGGAGATTGATTGGGTACAGGAGCAGCGAGAGATGCAGGAGAGTGACAGTGGGCATGAATGGGGCGTAGGACTGAGGCTCAGGATAGAGTCTGCCTCTCTGACCACCCTACATTCTCTTCCCAGAAACCACCACCCTCTGTTTAGTCAGGAAGCTCCTTTTTCTTTTTTTGTAGGTGATCATAGAGAAAAAGACAGAACTGAGAGAAATAAGGCAAGGTTCATGAGATCTAATGTCAGGAGTTATATAAAGATGATGTGACTAATAATAACAGCCAGAGTGAGACCTGGAAGATAGTACAAGGGGAAAAAGCATTTGCCTTGTATACAGGAAGCCCTGGATTCAATCCAGCACCACTATAGTTCCCTGAGTCTCAGCAGGAGTGATTCCTGAGCTCAGAGCCAGGAGTAAACCCTGAGCACAGCGCCCCTAAACAAAAACAGAAACAAAATATTAACTAATGATGATAATGTAGCTTATTACATACACTGCATATCACAGTAGGAAAAGTTCCATTAATCTTGAGACTTAAAAGATTTGGATTCTAGGCTGGGGAGATAGTATAAGAGTAAAGCCATTTGCCTTATGACTCTGCCTACACCAATTCTATGCCTACCATCACATTTGATCCCTGAGGACCACCAGGGATCACTTCCAAGCACTGAGCCTGAGAAAGGTTCTGAAGATCACCAGGTTTCGCCCACTACACACACACACACACACACACACACACACACACACACACACACACGAATTATGGATTCCAAGTATTAGAACTATAGTTCACATGACGTACTACATGCCTTGCATGTGAAAGACCTGGTACTAAATGAACCACTTCCCCCAGCCTCCTAGGAGTGACCTTGATGACGCCAACATGATTGCTGACTCCTAGAACCTGAACCTATCAATCCAGTACCTGTGGACTTCCTGGACGCAGGTGGATGTGGGTTCTATTTTAAAAAGGGAAACAGTGAAGGGGGAACCAGAGATAATAGAAAGGTAGATGCTTGCCTTCAAGCCTCTAATTCAAGTTCAGTTCCTGGCAATACAGCTAGTCCCCTGAGAAAAGGTCAGCAATAGCCACTGAGCACAGTAGGTGTGACCCCAAACACCATGCTCCCCAAAACAGTGGGTGTAGGGCAGAGAGATAACTCAAAGAGCTTGGGCACATGCCTTATATACACAAGGCCTCAGTTCTATGCCTAGCACACATGATTCTCTGAGCACTGTAGGTGTAGCCTGAGAGGCCCCAACATTTATGGAGATCTCCCACAGAAACAAGAGCAAGAAGGAAATGTGGTTTCTAGAAAGATTTAGTCAGCTTAGACACAGGAATTTGACCACAATAACGCTTTTACAAGGAGCTACTGCACTTTGTTCATTTTAGAATGGCAGGTGTATGCGTTGTTTGATTTCCTGTCAGTTCTTTTACTACAGACTCTAAGTTGTCAAGTTTATTGATATCCAACTTGTCAAGTTTGAGGTGTGGGCATGAGAAGTTCACAGATAATAGGAGTAAACAGTTGGGACCAATGACCAGCACCAAAGGTCTTTCTTTTTCCTTGTATAATGGTCAACTTTCATGAGATATCAGACCTTTCCCTTCCCTAGTAAACAATTTAAGGTCAAACATGGAGTTTAACAGAGCAATAGACAACTGGTCATTGAAACAGCAACTAGCTGTTAGAACTGTTAGAATAATTAGAACTTTCTGGGACAAAAAAAAAATCTTTTAAGGATTTAGGGAGATGAATTCATGGGCTGTCTCTCATATGTTGACGTGTGTGGCAGGGAGGAGTTTCCCATTCTGAACCAGAGAAAAAGGATATCTACTACCTACATTCACTTTTTCTACAAAACCAATTTTTAGAAAATAAGTGAAATTTGGCTGGGTAGTGGAGGGACAAATGGAGATATTACTGGCACCTGCTCGAGCAAATCAATGAGTATCAGGATGTCAAGTGATCAAGTGATCAAGTGAAATTCAGCTATGTATATTTCTCTAAGAAATTTCTGCAATTGACTTCACATTTCAAAGAAAACTAAATCTAGGATACCTAATTCAGGGCACTTTTTTTTACAGTGAAATGCCAAGTTATCAAAGCATCTGAAAAAATATTAGACTAATCCTTCAAGAGGTGCCATTATTTAAGTAACTTATATTTGCCAAAATATATCCATTTTTTTCACTTAAAAGAATTTTTTTTTGTCTTTCTTCTTGGAAAAGTGCAAAATCCTCTCTTCCATTCCCCTTTCTCCTCTCGATGCCAAACTAAGCTTTTACATTTTGTGTTCTTGTTTCAAGAAAGCAACCAGACATTAGACAGTAGAGGTTTTTAATTCATCTGGAAAAACACAAACTCACATGGTTGATTCTTCAGGTTCCTTTACTTATACCTGACATACTATGAAGTCCAAGCAACTCTGCAGAGTTACACTAAACGGGTTCTTGTGCTGCAAAGTCACTGGGTGCAGGTAGCAGTGAAACATTCCCAAGACAATCACTAGACATGCAGAATGCCAGCCAGAAGCAGGGATCACTTTCAGGATCTTGCTGCAGGGAGCATGAGGCTGTATTTATTGTGTAGATTAAGCCAGCTGTGTTTAAGGAAGCAATCACTCCTTGTTCTTAAGAACCTTAAGGAGTATCTTCCCCAAAGCAGTGTATTTCCAAATCCTAAACTTTGGAGCTAGATACCTCCGCGAGTTGTGTGTGTTGCTCTTTGGAGAGTCAAAGCCAAGCCACCATGAGCATGAAAGATGGCTGACACCCTCCCTCCATCGTCCCAACAATGAGAGTTGCCATTTGCTCCAGAAATTCAGAAGAATCCCTACCCCATCCCTGGTTTTAAGCATGGATGCAGGTCAAGCAAGCCTTTGATAACCAGGCCTATGGGATTATAGCTATGTTGATAGATCCCATGTATAAGGTGAAAAGTGCTTTTTGTTTCTCTACCTGATCCAGCTGGGGAAGGAAACTTGGGGGTCCCTGCCATTATGGCCCTAGCCCATGTGCTTATACTGGGATCGGTCCCTAGGAATCTGCACCTGGTTGGCAGTCATTTTGAGGTGAACATGGTAGATTGCCAGCGTAATCACAATGACAAGGCCCAAAATGATCCCCAAAATCAGGGGCAAGGTTTCCTCCAATTGCTCCCGTTCATCCACTGGACATTTATGCTCTGAAATGAGAAAGAGGAAGAAAGCAATGAGTTCCTGTCAAAATATTATGAATCACAAGTTCTCCTATGAATAAACTATTTGTAATATTGGGAAAGATTTCTCGAATAACCTTTAGAAAGACTTCCTTCTTAAAGGTAAAGGTAAAGGCCCTCCCGTTGATCGTCGATTTGCTCGAGCGGGCCCAGTAGCAGTCTCCATTGGAGACTTTGTTGTTACTGTGTCTGGCATATCGAGATACTCTCCGTAGCTTGCCGGGCTCTCCGAGAGGGGTGGAGGAATCAAACTTGGGATGGCCATGTTGGCCGCTTGTAAGGCGAACGCCCTACCGCTGTGCTATCGCTCCTTCTTAAAAATAATTTTTAAATTTTCATGAAGGACTGTGATTTATGAAGTTATTAATTGTTAAGTTTTAGACATATAATATTTGAATACCAATCCCATCTTTTGAAAATATATTTCCCCAATAGTCCCCTCATATTTCTTGCTTTAAGATTTCTGCATAGGGGCTGGAACAATAGCACAGTGGGTAGGGCGTTTGCCTTGCACATGGCCAACCCAGGTTTGATTCCCAGCATCCCATATGGTCCCCTGAGCACCGCCAGGGGTAATTCCTGAGTGCAGAGCCAGGAGTAACCCCTATGCATTGCATTGCCGGGTGTGACCCAAAAAGCAAAAAAAAAAAGATTTCTGCATAATATCAACTAAAAATTTATCACTTAAATAAACAAAAAGTATCACTTTTAGAGCAGGTGTCAACAACAAAATAGCCAGATAATTTATTTAACTTTCCAAAAATTTGCCTTAGATACAACCAATATACTAATATATTCCTTATTGTTGATTTTTGGACTTTATTTTCAGTTGTTGGGCAACATTCAGAGTTGCTCAGGGCTTACACCTGATTTGGCCTGTGGATCACTCCCGGGGGGGCTTGAGGAACCATTTGGACACTGAACCCAGTTTACCCACTTGCTAACAAGCAGCTTACCTACTTTCCTATCCTCTCTACCCTCCTTATTTTGTTTTTAAGCTTTTTTATTAAATATATATGTGTACGTATATATTTAGAGAATGGCAAGCAAATAAATGCAGTTTAGAAAAAGACTGAAGATAAGTGCTGCCAATAATATGGATCAACTAGAAATCATACACAGTAGGAAAAGTTACAACTATTTTTGTTTAAAAAATAAAAAACATATATGAGCTTCTAAAAAAAGCAAATAGATAAGCCAGCACTTTATTTCTAGTAATTAACTCAAGCATAATCACTGTCACTGTTCTCCCGTTGTTCATCGATTTTCTCGAGCGGGTCCAGTAACGTCCCCATTGTGAGGCTTTGCTGTGAAGGTGAGATACTCTCCGTAGCTTGCCAGGCTCTTGGAGAGGGGTGGAGGAATCAAACTCGGGTTGGCCATGTTGGCTGCATGCAAGGCAAACACCCTACCCCCTGTGCTATCGCTCCAGCACAAGTCAAGCATAATAATGAAAACATATAGAGACTTAATCAGTCTTTATAGAAGCTTTATTCATAGTTACCTAAAATGAAAGATGGCCAAAATAACCCATAAAATTAGAATGGAAAACTTAACTGGTACATTATTACAAGGGAATATTTATCAGCAACAAAATGAAATGAGCTACAGTGATGCAAAATTCATTATCCCAAAAACACTAAAAATTGAGAGACAGTTGTCTGACGTATAACAGTGTATGACATTTGTAAGAAGTTCAAGAGCAGGGAAATTAAGTGTATGGTTATTAAAATCAGAGAAATGCCTACATCTGGGAAGGAAGATGCAGGTATTCATGTGTATTAAAGCATACTTGTTATATCTTGTTTTTGTTGTTTTGGGACCACAGTCAGCTATGCTCAGGGCTTACACCTGGCTCTGCACTCAAGTTGACTCAAGAGACCATATGGGGTGCTGGGCATAGAATAGAGTTGGCAAGCCTATACTATGCACTGTACTATTACTCAGGCCCCAGCATACTATATTTGGATCTATATTCAGGTTGCACAAATGCAAGTACAGGTAAAACTACCTCTGTTCAGGAGTGGGCTCACAGACTCCCTGAGCACTGCCTAAGAGTCACACCACCAAATTATACACTGAGCTTAAACTTTGGGTTTGTGCTTTAATATATGTAAAATTATACAACAATTTGGGGGATGGGACTTATACACAGTTGTGCTTAGGCCTTCCTCCCAGCTCTGCACTCAGAGATTACTCCTGGAGGATTCAGAGGACCATATGATGTGCCGGGAATTGAACCTGTCATAACTCCTGTGCTATCTCTCCAGCCGCTACACTACAACTTTTTTTTTTTGCTTCTTGGGTCACACCTGGCAATGCTCAGGGGTTACTCCCGGCTCTGCACTCACCCCCCCGGCAGTGCTCAGGGGACCATATGGGATGCCGGGGATCATACCCAGATCGCATGCAAGGCAAATGCCCTATCCACTTTACACTAAAGTTTTTTTTAAAGAAACTGTAAAGTTTAAGAAATTTCACAAATGAATATCTCATGTAACCAGCAATTCAGGGTTAATTCCTTCTATGCTTCCTAAAATTCAGAATAGTTTTAGTACCTTGTTCCATATAATCATAAAACATAATTTTTGCTCACAAAATTTCAGAACCACTTTCCAGAAACAGGCACGTATTGATTCAGGCTCCTTTGCTCCTGTAGGTAATTTGTCCTTTTCACCAAACTTTGAAGTCAGAACTTGAGAAAACAAGCCATAGGTATTTATCCCCTTAAATGGACCAAGGTCTTGAGTCTAGAAGACCTGGTAAACCTTCATTATGCCCCACTCTTTTCCAGGCTTCTCCAGAATCCTCGTTGACATAGTTATTCTCTCCTCGCTTGAGACCCACAGAAAAGAGGATGAAACATGAGTACTTCAGATTTTCCTCAAAAATAGTAAGAATATGGTAATGTGTATGCAACAGTTTTTTTTAACTCTACTTAATGTATCCGGTTCCTACATTTATCTTCAAATTATAAATCAAAAATTGCTTCATTTATCCCCCAATTCAGATACAGTTGACTTGAATGACATAATTTCAGCTATGTGGATCCAATTATATGGAATAGTTTTAGTAGCTTGTTCATGTTTATATACATACATATGTGTGTACAAATATATGTACTCTATAGGTTCAGAAATCACAAATATAATCAGCTAAAAATATCAGCTAGTTAAATCTGGAGAAGCAGAACACACAATTTCAAAAGGTCACTTCTAAGTTATATTCAATTGGCTACTTGCAGGGGTCTCTTGCCCTCATCACCATGTTGTTCAAGGGTCAATGTTATTATTAGCAGATTCATTCTTTTTTATTTGTTTGGTTTTGACCTTTTTTGCTTGTTTTTTTTTTTTATTTTACTTTAGGTTACATGTTTATAAAACTGTTGACATTCATGGTCAGTTACCTCACCTTAATACCATTAAAGTGTCACCCACATCTCCCATTCCCTGACTTACCTCCAGTCTACCTACTTCCCACTAATATGGTGAAACTCAATTTACAGCCCAGGATTTGTTATTAATTGATACTGTCTATATCTTTTGTTTTATTTTCCTATCTTCCAGTGATGAGTGAAATATTTCAGTGTTTGTCCTCCCTCTGGCTTACTTTGCTCAGCTTGACATTCTCCATTTCCATCCAAGGTGCAATGAACTCCATGTTTTATTTTTTTTTTCTTGTGGCACTACAGTATTCCATTGTGTTTATGCACCACACCTTCTCTATCCATTGGTCTTTTGTTGAACATTTGGGTTGTTGTCATAACATGACTACTGAATTAAGCACTATAATGAACATACAATGATATGTATGTATCTTTTCAAGTTAGTATTTCTATACTTCTGGGGTTAATAATCCAAAGTGAAATCACTGGATCATGGAAGCTCTATTCTTAGTTTTTTTGTTTGTTTGTTTGGGTTGGTTTTTTTGTTTTTTTGTTTTTTTGTTTTTTGCTTTTTGGGTCACACCCGGCAATGCACAGGGATTATTCCTGGCTCTGTACTCAGGAATTACTCCTGGCGATGCTCAGGGGACCATATGGGATGCTGGGAATAAAACTCAGGTCAACCGCGCGCAAGGCAAACGCCCTACCCGCTGTGCTATTGCTCCAGCCCCCATCTATTCTTAGTTTTTGAGAAGTCTCAATAATGTTTCCATAACAGCTAAACCAGACAACATTCTGGCCAGAGAGACAGTACAGCAGGTAGGGTGATTGACTTGCACATAGCTAACCCCAGTTTGATCCCCAGAACCTAATATGGTACCCAGAGCACCCTCAGGAATTATCTGTAAGCACAGAGCCAAGATCAGCCCAGAACACAACCAGTTGTGCCCACCCACCCCCAAAAAGACATTATTTTCATAAATAGGAAGTGAGGTTTTTTTAACCACACCCACACCAACACTCTATTTTTTCTAATAATTTTGATATATGCCATTCTTACTAGTATGAAATGATACCTTATTTCTGTGGGTCCGTGCTGTGACTGAGATAGAACACAGGACCCCAAGTTTCATGCCAGCCATACATTCTAGCTCCTTGAACTCTTTACTTGGTCTCTATAGATTAAAAAAATATTTTAGCCAAAATTTTTGCAAAAATTAAGAAGCTATTTGTGTTAGCTCCTTTCTACTTACTACAGAGACATTAAAAATAATTAATAGAGAAACTTTGTTTATTAGATTCCTTTCTAAAGAGTCTCATTCCTTGAGTATCAGTCTGTAGTCAATATACTCATCACTCCAGAGAGGGGACTCTTAGTATGAGAGGCAGACACATGCCCCAGGCTCTATAGGTAGAGGGTGTTTTTTTTTTTCTAGTCTACTACAGTGTCTCTTTGGATTGAGCAATGAATAAAACTGAGGCCTCCTGGAGAAGACATTTTAACATCAAAGCTTATTTGCTTTCCATGCATAGATACACAGTCACCCTTGTAATGTGGACCAACATGGATCATGGCAGGACT